GTGAGCATGAAAACAGATCTGTCCCCAGTCAAACCCTGAGATGAGACCATAGCTCCAAGGTGTCACTGGAGCCTGTGAGAGACCCCAAAGCAGAGAACCAGATAAGCTTGAGCCTGGATTCCTGACCTACAATTTTGAGATAAGAGATGCGCTTTTTCAGCCACAGAGTTTGTTACACAGCAATAGATAACAGATACAGATATTATGCAGCTGTTAAAAAAGCATGATGGAATTTTATATATACCTATAATGGAATGAATTCCAAAATACATTAAGGAAGAAAAAGCAAGGTCATAACAGTGTGTGGAATGGTATCGTTTGTGTGTTTATAAACATACAGATATGTCTGGTGTCTCTGCAATGATATAAGATATTGATGGCAATGGTTGCCCTGTTGGTAGGGGAACTGGGTGGCTGGGGACTTTTTGAATTTTGCTCCATGTACATGAAAATCAATTCAGAAATTTTTTTTTTTAATTTTTTTTTCAACGTTTATTTATTTTTGGGACAGAGAGAGACAGAGCATGAACGGGGGAGGGGCAGAAAGAGAGGGAGACACAGAATTGGAAACAGGCTCCAGGCTCTGAGCCATCAGCCCAGAGCCCAACGCGGGGCTCGAACTCACGGACCGCGAGATCGTGACCTGGCTGAAGTCGGGCGCTTAACCGACTGCGCCACCCAGGCGCCCCAATTCAGAAATTTTTAAACCCTTTTGTTCTCATTGTACTCAAAATAAAATTAATTTCTTTACAATGGCCTAAAAGACCCTGCATGACTTGGGCCTTGCCTACTTCTCCAACTTCAGCTTATGCCACTCTTTCTGGCTTTCAGGACTCTCCAGTCACTAGAATATAAACTCCTTGAAGGCAGGAATATGTCTCTGTTTACCTTTTGATCTCTAGCACCTAGCATAGTACAAAATACTCAGTAGGAATTCAGTGAATATGTTTTTTGTAATTTTTTAAAGTTTATTTTTATTTTGAGAGACAGAGAAAGAGCGAGCGCGAGAGAGAACACAAGCATTCACATGCATGGGGGAGAAGCAGAGAGAGAGGGAGAGAGAATCCCAAGCAGGCTCCTCACTGTCCACCTAGAGCCCAACACAGGACTCAATCTCACCAACCGTGAGATCATGATCTGAGCCGAAATTAAGAGTTGAACACTTAACTGACTAAGCCACCCAGGTGCTCCTGTGAATTTTTTTTTAAAGGAATAATAAATGAATTTGATTTCCAAAGTTTTAGGAAGGGTAAAAGAGGTAATGCCTAGAAGGGTACTTGGCACTCAACAAAAGAGGACACAATATGGGATTTTCCTTTTGTATATCACTTGAAAGGCTGTCATAAATGGGAATAGGACCTCATTATGTACTCCTCCAGAGACTAGTAAAAGTCAGAGGAAGAAAAATATTAATTCAGCATTAAATGCCCTAAGGAATATGGGAGGGGTTGTTTTATGACGTGGTGAACACTTCCACACTGACTATTTATTGTCAAGAAAACTGTTAAAAATGTGCCAAGTAATCATCTGAGAGCCTTTCTAGGATTCTAGAGTTCTGCCATAGGTATATTTCAGGTCCTGTCCTTTTCATAGGAAATAGGCATATTGTTTTTTGTTTTAAATATTTTTTATAGTTTATTTATTTTGAGAGAGTGAGCACGAGTGGGGGAGGGGCAGAGAGAGAGGGAGAGAGAGAGAGAATCTCAAACAGGCTCCACACTGTTAGAATGGAGCCTAATGTGGGGCTCAAACTCATGAACCATGAGATCATGACCTGAGCCAAAGTCAGACACTTAACTGACTGAGCCACCCAGGTGCCCCTATTGTTTTTATTTCTGACTCCTGGGACCAAAACAGAAAAATTGGTACATTTATCGATCTTTCTATTAAACGGGCATGCTGAATATGGGACTTCATTGTGATATACTAACGGCTGTACTGACTCAAGTTTTTGAGGTTTATAGGTTTGCTCTAATCTCAGCTGCCATCAGCACAGTAGTCTGTTTCTTTGGAGCACCAGAAATGAGATAGAGGGGTCAAAAGATTTGCTTTTTACCACAATCACGATGGAAATGTAATTTCATCAAACCACTCAAGAGTAGTTTTTCAAAGGCCATATTTTATTGGAATGCTTTCCTGCTCCATTAGCTGCATAACAGCCACATAGACTGTATGTAGGGGGCAGTTCGCTGACACTGAAGTGCTTCCTTCAGAAAGAGTAGCTTCAGGTGGTGATTAACAAGGACACCACAGCAGTTTCAGGCTGGAAAGGCAGTGCATCTTCCTGGTAGCTCCCTGCTGGTTCCAGCTCTACCCCCCTGCTTGGGTAAAGATACTAGGAGCAAGAGTACCAAGTCCCTCCCATCTTTCTTTTATCTTCTTAAAGCTTGGCACACTGCATATAAATTAAACAGCAGGTAAAAAAAAAAAGAGTTATTTATATACCCTATTTAAATTTTGACGGTAACCTTAGCTTGTTCTTGACTTTACTTAATTCTAGATTTCAAAACATTTTGAACAGCACTTTGGTTTACTTAGGAACTGCTGAAACCTAGAAATTTGTTATTGAAAGCCAGCCACATCTTGCAAAGTTTAAATATATGAATACGAAGTATGGTACTTGGGAGAGTCCTGGGCCATAGGCAGGAGTGTGGGTTCGAGTCTGTGTGGCACCAACAAGATATTCCTGTCTCTGGAGCAGTTTCCCTCCTGGTAACGTAAGAGGTTGCTTTATTTTATTTTTTAAATGTTTGTTTCTTTTGAGAGAGCACAAGCAGGGGAAGGGGCAGAGAGGAGAGAGAAAATCCCAAGCAGGCTCTGCGCTATCAGTGAGGACACTGCCATGGGGCTCAATCAATCCCATGAACCGGGAGACCATGACCTGAGCCAAAATCAAGAGTTGGAGGCTCCACCAACTGAGCTACCAGGTGCCCCTTGAGGTTGAGTTGATTTAAAGAAACTGTATTTGGACTTTGAACTCTTTGTCAAACAAAAATTTATGCAAAGCCCAATATATGAAATAGATTAAAGCATATTTGCTTTGGTGGAAGATGGGACAGGGTCCAGAGCCTCTGAGGCAACTCTCAGGAACATCCCATGCTCTTCGGAACATTCTGGAAATCTCTGCACCACATAGGCTCTTCCAGTTCTGGCATCACAGAACAATCTACAAAGTACGATTAAATTTGGCCTTGTTGATATGCATCCAAATTCAACTTCTAATTTCTTTCTTTTTTTTTTTTTTTTGCTTGCACATCAATTGGCCAAGATGTGAACTACACTGAGTCTCTTGCATTAATGCTGGTATTAGTAAACACTTAGATTTATGGCCTGTGCGGTGTGCTTCATTCATTCAACTGTGCCAAAAACTGGGGCTATTAAGACAAGTGTGGTCTCTGCTCTCAAACTGCTAGTACCTCCTGGGGAAAAAAGATAAACGAATTAATATTAGATGTAGACTCCCCAGCATGGGAGCTCACACATGGTGAGGGTACTCAGTTCTGGGGCATGGGGAGAGAAGGTTGAGGCAGAGGAAAGGATTCTTAAAAATGTCAAGTGATATTTATTGCACATTCATGTGTCAGGCAGCATTCTAAATTTTTTGTAATCATTTTAGAGACAAGGAGATTGAGGCAAAGGATGGCTACATAACCTGGCTGCAGATAAAAAAATGATGGAGGCAGGATTTAAGATCAGGCTGTGTGACTCTGGGGCTCCTATTCTTAATCACTACACCATACTACCTGCATATTCATACATAGGGTAGCAGTTAAGTTTAATTTTGATGAAGTACGTACAATCACATGACAGGGTAGGAAAGTCAGCAGAGAGACAGGAAGTAGAATGGATGAAAGGGAGCAGAGGCACAAAGCAGCATGGCACACTGGCAATTTGCAGTTGTCAGGACAGCTGGAACACGAAGTGCCAAGGGGACTGTGGTGAGGAAAACAGGCTGGAGGGGCTATGCTTCTCTCCCCCTTTGGCAAAATCTCCATCTTTATCTCTGCAATGGACTCAAAAGACGTCTCCAGAAAGTTGAGTGGATTCAAGGGATGGGATAGCTGGATTAGCATCGCAGGATGCCATTGACTTGGACTCTGATCTTCTTAGAGGATAAGGGGTAAATAAAATGTGTGAAAGGTCCTGGTGTTGGCTAGATAAACGTTGGCTGAATTTGAATGTGCAGCAGATATTCGGCAAACTGGGGTCGTGGATAAAAAGTGTGTGTGAAGGACTCTTCTAGAAGGGAGAGGACATGGCCAGGCTACAAAAACCACTTAAGTTTGTTCATATGACGAAAGTTTAAGAAGTGGCAGCCTTATCAAAACTGCAGAGCTTGCTGTTAGAATAAATGAACTGTACAAGATGTCCTTAACTCAGCGCAAGCGTTGATATGCTGACAGGCCAAACCAGTTCATTAAGTATTCACCCCCTGGCTTTGTGAGTATTGTTATTGTATAATTTCAAAAAAAAAAAACAAAACCAACAACAAAAACCACCTCTTGGAACAAGGTGTATAGAATGGGGACAGAACATCACCTGTTTGTGTGCACACGCCAGTAGGCAAATATAGGAGCAGATAATGATCCAGAACATTCTTGTTCAGAAATACAAAACAGCATTTTATTTCTATTTCCCTTAGCACATGATTCTAATTATGCCTTATAGCCTGACAATGGTCATCACAGGCTACAAATAATCATGTTGTTGGTAGACTCCCTGCTTGCTGTGAGCAAGCACAGCAGTCTGAATCATCTCAGATGACTTGAACAGGGCAAGGCGAGATTTGTTTCAAATGTGCTTCATTGCTTAGGGAGCGTAAGTGGTTTCTCACCATGGTGACAATCACGTCGCTAGGCTGGGCAAGGCCAAGTTTAGAAGAATGGTCTTCCAAACAGAACCACTGAAATGAATGGTTCATGCCACCAGCAACTTTCTTCAAGTTCTGATTAATTTCCCATGAAATAATTGCTTGGAAGACATCCAAGCAGTTCCTTTATTCATTGTTTCTTTGTCTTGCTGGAAGGAGGGTCAGACAACACTGAAACATACAGTTTGAACCAAGCATATGTGATGCCGGCTGCACAATACACTGAGGTCAGTAACAAAGGGATAAAGGGGTACTTCAGCTTCCAGGAGGTGAAAGGGAATACAAATTCACAGAAGACTTCCAGAGGCCCCAAGCCAAGGAGGTAGAAAGTTTCCAACCAATTAAAAAGAGGTTTTTCTTTTCTGAACACAAAAGGAGAGAAAAGTCTCATTTTAAACAAGTCATCCTGGTTTAGCAAACATCTCTCAGCTGAAGCTTCCCACCTGCACCGTCCTGATGTGAACGATAGCCAAAGCCATTGTCAAAAGAGTGCATTCAATTTCACATTTAGAAAAAATGGAGAATGATATACCACTGCACTAGCTCAACAATCCAGATTTACCCAACTGTCATCTACCCATGCCGTCGCCTCAGTGAAGCTGCTGAGAGAACCAGCTCTGCATCTGGGGGAGGAAAGGGAGCTGGATGCTGTGACGCTAATGTAAAAAAATGCTACACAATAGGTAATTGATGGTTTTCAAGATGCTTTTGTTTTGGTAAAATAACAAACAACTTGCTATTTAACCATTTTTAAGTATGCCATTCAGTCCCAGTAAGTGTATTGATAGTGTTCTGCTACCAACATCACTATCCACTTTCAAAACATTTTCATCACCCCAACAGAATCTCTGGAAACATCAAGCAATCATCACTCCCTATTCCTCCTCCCGAACGTCTACTCTGTAACCTCTAATTTACTTTTTGTCTCTATGAATTTGCCTATTCTACAGCATTTATATAGTATTTGTCCTTCTGTGTCCGGCTTAGTTCACTTAGCCCATGTTTTCAAGGTTCATCCATGTTGTAGCACACATCAGAACTTCCTTCCTCTTTCTGAGTGATCAGTACTCCACTGTATGTATACACCACCTTTTGTTTAGCCATTCATTTGCTGATGGACACTTGAGCTGTTCCCACCTTTTGGCACAGTGAATAAAGCTGGAATGGACACTGTGTACAAGTATCTGTTTGAGTTCCTCTTTTCAGTTCTTTTGGGTATATACTAACAGTGGAATTGCTGGGTCATATGGTGAGAACTGAGTTGTAATATAATTAAGTATATGAGGCTTATGGACATAATCAGATATGAATCATAAAGGAGCTTTAAAAAATTATATGGATAACATCATATTAAGTTTAGAAGAGAAAAAATTCTACCCATAATTCTATAACAAGAATTTTTACATATATTTATTTAAAAATATTTTTTGAAGTAGGGGCGCCTGGGTGGCTTATTGGGTTGAGCGTCTGACTTCGGCTCAGGTAGTGATCTCACAGCTCATGGGTTTGAGTCCCACGTCAGGCTCTGTGCTGACAGCTCAGGGCCTGAAGTCCGCTTCGGTTTCTGTGTCTCTCTCTCTCTCTCTCTCTCTCTGCCCCTCCCCCGCTGGCACTCACTCTCTCTCTCTCTCTCTCTCTCTCTCAAAAATAAACATTAAAAAAATTTTTTTTAAATATTTTTTGAAGTTTATTTATTTATTTTGAGAGACAGAGAGAGCAAGCAGGGGAGGGGCAGAGAGAGAGGGAGATAGAGAACCCCAAGCAGATTCCGCATGTCAGTGTGGAGCCCAATGTGGGGCTCAAATCCCTGAACCATGAGATCATGACCTGAGCCAAAACCAAGAGTCAGACGCTTAACTGACTGAGCCACCCAGGCGCCCCTACATGTATATTAGCTTTATGCATCTATATTTATGTGGCTTTACTCATAATGCATATTTTACATTCTAATATTAAGTTTTCATATAAGGTTTTAATTTAAGTTAGGTAGTCCCTCCTCAAATAGTCCTTCAGTTAAAGACATGAACTATGTTGTCATGTCAGAGTGATGTGATTATGGGTAATTTGTCCCTAAAAAAATTCTGGCAGCTTTTTGGGCTCAGGTCATGACCTCATGGTTTGTAAGTTCGAACCCCGCATTGGGCTCTCAGCTGTTAGTGTGGAGCCTGCTTCACATCCTCTGTCCTCCTCTCTCTCTGTGTCTCCCCTGCTCGTGCACTCTCTCTCTCAAAAATAAACATTGAAAAAAAATATTTTTTAAAGGCTTAACGGACCATTTAGGAATAAACATTTCACAACAGCAAACATAATTTTAAATGTACTCTTTTGGATTACCTGAATAGAGTCTTCAGTGAGGAAATACTATAGGTGGTAAATAGTAACATGAGTAAGATTTTAGTGGGAAGTTCTGTTAAAAGAAAAAAAAATACAGATGATAATTCGGTTGATCACAGAAAGATATATGATACTCAAGGCAATATAATAAGCACACTGGCACAGCTATATAGTGCTAGCAATGCTTTTTGAGCTTAATGATGCATCTTTGTGACATCTAAAGATACTGAGGATTAGGAACAAATTAGAGGTTTTATTTAAGAGCATGGAGGAGCTCTCTCCTTCCAAGAGACTTTAAGGTCATTTAAATGAGATATATTGATCTCTAGGCCCTGATGAAAAAGGCATGGCAATCAAATCTCTCTCTCTGAAATAAAAAGCTGTTTACCTGGTGCAGTGAAGAGCAGAGGGAAGAGGGAATAATGTCCCGTTGTGGTCAGAATCAGAAAAATTGAAGCATCTCCTGCTTTTCCCACAGAAAGAAGGCTAAAAATAAAAATTCTTATAATAATTCCTTAAAACAACAACTGAAACTTACACTTGCAGCAGACAGCTTGAATAGACAGCATCTATTATTTCTAGCACTGGCTTATGCATAAGCTAACATACTGATCTTTGCTACAAGTCCAATGTAATTGAGAATATTCATTTCGTGGGAAAATTTAAGCAACTGATGGAAGAATGTACCACACTGAATTGGGGAGTATTGAAAAAGAGTCTTGCTTCCCTGAGTAACTGCCTTCCTCACAGAAAGGGACATGGTGGGACTAGGAGCTGCCTAGTGGTGGTAGCCAGGGAGACAGGACTTGGGAGTTTAATTTCCAGACCTGGAGCTCTTCTCTTGGGCAGTGCCCCATGCCTGATGGTGCTTAGTATGAGTTCTAATTAAAGACATTAGAAGTTTTGTTCTATTTCTTAATTTGGAAACTCTACGTTGCTGAATGAATCCAGACAAGCCATATACTGACGTGACAAATTTGCTTAAGCTTCCTTCAGAGCTTAATTTCTCTCAAGATTTAAGAAAAATCTCAAGGGAAAAAAAAGGCTAATTCTAATATCATCTATCAGGATTTAATTATATGCAAAATGGACACTACTGCATTTAATTTTTTTTAATTTTTAATTTTTTAGCATGGTACAGTGAAAAGATCATAGGAACCAGCATCATAACATTCAGGTTTAAGTCCTAACTGTGCTACTTGCTAGCTGTGTGGCTTTGGATAAGTCATTTAGACTCTCTGAGCCCAGTTTCTGTAGATGTTAAGACGGGATGATATCAATTTATCCTAATTACCTTAAAGGTTGCTGTGAGGCTCAAAAGAAAAAAAAAATGCAAAAAGAAAAAAACCCAACCAAACCCCTCTTCTCCCCACCAAAAACCACCTCAACAAGAGTTCTGCAAAATGTGAAGTTCTGTACAAATATTAAATTTTACTCCATAATGGACTCAATCATTACTCTAACAACACTTAACAAGAAACCATGAAATCTTATTTTCGCCAATGAGGTGACACCAACGCCTATGCTTTTCTATACCGTGCTGCCATTCAATATCCAGATCTAACACCTTGTATCATGGTTCTTAATTGCTGTAGTACCCTTAACAAAAAACAGCAGTAACTGTGTGTGCATATTCCCAGGCCCAGCGATCCCAAGTTAAGCATCCCTGTCCTGTCCTAGTATAAATCTATTCCTGTACATCTTTGCCTTTGCCTATCCCACTGAACAGGTCAAATGGAAAACAACAGGCTCATTACGAAATCTGCCAGAAATGCTGGCTGACTGAGTTATGTGCTTACCTCATCGGGAGAACTGCAAGGAGTATGGCTTTTTCATGGACGTGCCACCCAAATAGGAAGGAGCTCAAGGCACAAAGAATTAGACATCGCAGAAAGCCTCTGGGCCCTTGGGGTTTAAACCAAAGACAGAAAACAGAGGGCTAGAAACAACAGGCAAAGATAAAACTTCAGTATCACTCAAAATAGGCTTTACAGAAACATTGTTCAGGCGAATACAATTTATATCATCTCTGCAAACCAGTACATCTTAGACTATTCTCCCTTACACTGGGTTAATTCATCACCATGTGAACACTCCACCAAAAGTTATAAAAAACTACACAGGGGGCGCCTGGATGGCTCAGTCAGTTAAGTGTCTGACTCCTGATTTCAGCTCAGGTCATGTTCTCATGGTTGTGAAATCAAGCCCTGAGTCGGGCTGTGTGCTCACAGCACAGAGACTACTTGGGATTCTCTCTCTCCCTCTGACCCTCCCTGGCTCATGCACACTCCCTCTCAAAAACAAAACAAAACAAAACAACAACAAAAACTAAAAACCTACTCAGAAAACAAGGCTTTTGGAAATACATATTTAACTCATTAATATTAATTCTGTTCAGGGCACCTGGGTGGTTCAGTCACTTGAACGTCTGACTCTTTACTTTGGCTCTGGTCATGATCTTGCAGTTTCATGACTCTGAGCCCTGTGTTGGGGGGGCTCTGTGCATGGAGCCTGCTTAGGATTCTCTGTCTCCTTCTCTCTCTGTCTCTCCCCTGCTCACGGTCTCTCTCAAAATAAATAAATAAACTTAAAAAAAATTAATTCTGTTCATCAGAATTAATAATGAATGACTGATATCAGGTCAAACTACAAAAGTTCAAAAACATTTTGAGGCTAACAATAAACTAGATTTTACCATATTAATAAATACATACCTAGCTTTGTGGGCTGGATTGTAATTTACAATAAAACTAGGACCTTCCATACGCAGCTTATGAGGCTGACGTTTTAGAAAGTTTTAGGCAGTTAGAACATGGGAACAAGCAGGCCAGCAGAGCTTAATTACCCATCAGCACTGCCACTTAATTAAGCGGGGTCAGGTATCTTAATAGGTTTGATCTTTTAGAAACCAAAATTAAAACTGAGTATAATTAAAGTAGAATTGAGTTATTTATACTGAATGCCATTAAAATCATATCATGAAATTGAGAGCATCATGATCACAAACAAAAACAGCTATGAACGAAGCCTCTAACACCATCTGAGTCATGTTAGATTCAATGTTTGACACTCAAAGAGCCACTGTTGACTCTCTTAACTCACTGTCGTCATCAAGACAAAATATCCACGCAGTCCAGGCAACTTTGGATTTTTGACCAGTTAGCCACGGATGAAAACAACAACAGAAACCTGGATGTTCCCACTACACACGTTTTCCTTCTCCACAGTGCAGTCCTTGGCCCTTCCTCTCTAGGCTTTTCTTTTTTTCCCCTCAGATCATGAACAAATGATCTAACAGCCACAGCAAGGATCTCTCTCGCAGAGGTCGTACTAGTAATCTTTCCTTAAGGTGTTCAAAATTACTCTAAGAATTGCTCTGAAATACCTCAGTCTGCAGCAGGATGACAGCTATGGTATTTGTCCTATAGTTGGAAAAACCTGAAAGATGAAATTAACCAGCCACACAAAAGAAAAGCAGAGAAAACTCAAGAAACGAGTACCGTGGGTGAATTCTTACCAATATGGCAATCAGAGTGCAGATGAGGGTGGCCAAGGGAGTCACTGAGGGAAGGACTATGTGTTGGAACTGTTGAACCAAACCACTTGTCATTGAGGCCTTGGGAATTTTGTTGGGATCAAGAAGTTTCAATTCCAAACCTAGAGAATAAGTAGATATTTTGTATTATTTTTATCAATATTTGGTCAACCAACTCCTCGAGAAAAAAAAAATCTACTAAATCTTATTGTTGCTTCAAGGTTGAGCTGTATTAAAACTCAACTCTGTACTATTATTTTATCTACAATGCCTCTGGTCTTGAGATCATATGATGCAAAGCAGCTTTTTGTACTGGAACAGGGAATTCGTGCAGACAGTATGAATATCAATCTGCTCTCTCTCACCTCTAAAATGAAGCAGGCTTCTAAAATGCAAGTCTGACCATGTCACATCCCAGCTTGGAATCCTTCATTGCCTATAAAGTCCATATTCCCAAGCATGGCAAAAACTGTCTTCCATGATCTGGCCCCTTCCTCTCCAATCTCATATCCTCTGCTTGATTAAATGTGGCTTGGCCACAATGAATTGACATAGCACTCTCCACACTTGTCCCCTTAGCTTAGAATGGCCTAATCACTTCTCTAAGTTAACTCCTAATTCACTTCCTCATCTGAGGGAGAAATCTTTTAAATAAAAAAGTAGAGCTGATTTTCTTGTGGGCTAGGTACACACATATGGACCCTGTACATGTCTCTATCTAGTGTTCACCCTACTGCCCTGTATCTGTTTATGCACTCATTTCCTCCACTGTATTGGATTTCTTAAAAGCAGAAACGATGATTAATCCATTTTTATCCCCAGCACGTACGTGTTCAAGGAATACTTATTAGATGACCAAGTCTGAGGATGATGATGCAAATCCCATCCCAAACAAGCTAATAGGACAGCCAAGGACAGTCTGAGCACAGCCTTGTAGTAGACAAGGTCTACTGAAAATCAGTGAAATGTGGGGAGGTGTACACTACCAAATTATTTTGTATTCATTAACCTCTTTCCTTTTCCCTTCAGTCTGATGAGTCTCTCTTAAAGCTACCGCCACTGACCAAGACATCTTTTTTTTTATATATTAAATATAATTTGTTGTCAAATTGGTTTCCATACAACACCCAGTGCTCATCCCAACAGGTGCCCTCCTCAATGCCCATCACCCACTTTCCTCTCTCCCCCACCCCCCATCAACCCTCAGTTTGTTCCCAGGATTTAAGAGTCTGTTATGGTTTGCTTCCTTCTCTCTCTGTAACTTCCCCCCCGCCCCTTTCCCTCCCCCATGGACTTCCGTTAAGTTTCTTAGGATCCACATGAGTGAAAACATGTATCTGTCTTTCTCTGCCTGACTTATTTCACTTAGCATAATACTCTCCAGTTCCATCCACATTGCTACAAATGGCCAGATTTCATTCTTTCTCATTACCAAGTAGTATTCCATTGTATATATTAACCACATCTTCTTTATCCATCAGTTGATGGACATTTAGGCTCTTTCCATAATTTGGCTATTGTTGAAAGTGCTGCTATAAACACTGGGGTACAAGTACCCCTATGCATCAGCACTCCTGTATCCCTTGGGTAAATTCCTAGCAGTGCTATTGCTGGGTCATAGGGTAGATCTATTTTTAATTTTTTGAGGAACCGCCACACTGTTGTCCAGAGCGGCTGCACCAGTTTGCATTCCCACCAACGGTGCAAGAGGGTTCCCGTTTCTCCACATTCTTGCCAGCATCTATAGTCTCCTCATTTGTTCATTTTAGCCACTCTGACTGGCGTGAGGTGATATCTGAGTGTGGTTTTGATTTGTATTTCCCTGATGAGGGGTGACGTTGAACATCTTTTCATGTGCGTGTTGGCTATCTGGATGTCTTCTTTAGAAAAGTGTCTATTCATGACCAAGACATCTTTGAAGAGGCAGATATATAAGATAATGTACAGCCTAGTTTCCTCACTCGGACAAGGAAAGTGGCCCTTATACCTCATACCATGCTGGTTATTTAAGGTTTTTGAATATAAATGTTAAGAAACTCCTTGTAAGAGTCCTTGGACATCAAGGCTGGATTCACAGTGGGTGAGGGATAATACCAAATTATGATTTCCTTTAAGTATGCACCAAAACAGTGACAGCAGCTACTTGTGCCAAGAGCTTTGTAGCCATTACTTTCAGACCCCTGAGGCACAGAGAGATGTATAACTTGTCCAAAGTCACACAAGTGATAGGTGGTAGAATTAAACTCAGATCTGTCTGGCTACAATGCCCCTGCTACTAACAACATAGCATTTTTTTATTATTGCATGTTTCTTACAACATAGTGCATTGGTACAGTTACTTACATTATCCTCTTATACTCACTAGAAGAATCAAGTGACTTGAAGAATGCCACAGAGCCACTCATTTATGCAGGTGGGCCTCCAACCAAATCATCAGACTCTAGATCAGGAATTGGCAAATTCTACCTTGAGGGCCAAATCCCCAGCCTGTGACTAATTTTTGCATAGCCCGAAGCTAGGAAGAGTTTTCATATTTTTCAAGGTGGTAAAACAAACAAAAACACCTTATGTGGTCTGCCAAGCCTAAACTATTTACTATCTGGCCCATTTTTTTTCAGACAAAGCTTACTGACCTTTCTCTTGATCCTCCCCATTTCCCATCAAGCTAGGCTATATTCACAAACTACTGTGAGTTATTCTAGAGTGAATTATTTTCAGTAGAACCATCTTAAGATATACATTATTATTATTATTATTATTATTATTATTATTATTATTATTATTTTATCACAACCCAAACTTAAAAGCCTAGCCTAGGTTTCCCATTTCTTCTCATCTCATGCATGACTATCATTTTCCTTACTGATAGAACACCTAGAGTCACAGCTTACACAGTCTTCTTTCCTTATGCACACATTTAAGTTTAAAAGCAGAGTTAACTGCTGAATAACATTTTACTCAAGGCAAAAATTACTTTTTAAAAATGTCTAAATATTGTATTTTTTTTTCCAAAGCAAAGGATCAACCTCATTGCTACAAATGGTTTTTATAAGGAACACAGCCTGTCTACTACACTGAAACCTTAGTCCCTAGAACTGCTCCCCTGTTTATTCTGAAAGCTGAAACACAAGGCCAGACAACAAACAGTTCAGCCACATTCAAAACACAAAGCAGGATTTTCCATTTCTCAGTATGACTTGTCCAAATCCATCGTCTAAGTAAGAAGGCTGGCTACTATACCGATGATGGAGAGCACTTTGTCCAAAGCATTGTACAAAGCCCAGAAGTTTGGAGCCCAATATGCATGGCAGAGGCCCCTCTTGAAAGGGAAGAGTCGGGACAAGACTTGAGGCAGTTGGTTCTGTAGAAAAGAGATTAAACAGTGACCGATCTTTTCCAAATGCAAAAAGAGAACTAAAGAACCATCTGTGACATAGCGTGTAGAAAGTTCTAGTCCTTGTTCCCTCAAGTAGTTGTGTGATCCTGAGCAGTTCACAGAACCTCCTCGTGTCTAACCTACTCATCTGTTGAGTGGGACAAGATATGCTGAATACCAGTCCAGTACTGCTATGAGATAATTATAATAAGGGAAGAATTTACGAGCTGCAAAGGAGGAGACCCCAGGGTGAGGGAAAAAGGGGAAAACGAAAAATATTCATCGAACATCTATAATATTCTAGGCACTTTGAATGTTGTCAGTGAATGACTATGCAACACCATTAGTATTGATTTTGGAGTTACAAATAAATTATCACAAGTAAGAAAATGAGCAAATAAGGAAATCTGCGAACAATGATCATCAATTCTGTGTGTAAGTGTGTGTGTCTATGTGTGTGAAAGACATATAGTTAAACATGTAAATACACAGATATGTATCTGAATATGAACCAAAATGTCTGAAAGAACACCATTCTGTCTTTGGGGAGTCATACTGGGGAAGAATCAGAAAAAAGTAGATTTGCTTCTTTTATACATTCTTTGTTTTATTATTTTTTTCTAAACAACAGCAGCAACAACAAAAAACATGTATTACTTAATTTAAAAAATAAAAGACTTACCAAGGCTAGGAAGGGACCCAGTGAAAGAGCAGAAACTAAAAAAACAATCAGTCCTAGAGAAATAACACGGACAAAGCTGAAACTGTTCCATCGGATGGATCCATCTACAGAAAAGGAACATTACCGTTACCAGGAGCATGGAAAACCATAACTTATACAATGTGCTAAAACCAGAAGTATCCCCTGATAGCACACCAACCTTCATGATGTGACAAGAGCACAGAAAAGTCAGAATGGTCAAGGGTTTATAGGATGAATAAACGAGAGATATCTGTTGTGCCTCATAAAATCCTCTCATGAAGCAAGCTACTGAATCAAGGAAAAAGAAAATAAAGGTTTTGTTATTGTCACTAAAACTTGCCTGGTTTATTTGCAGTGAAACAGTAAGACCGTAGCAGGTATACACCATAAGCCGGGGCTACATAGAGGTAGATGTGCTTGAAGTGTAGAAGAACAGCAAAGAGAAATGCTCCTTCCATATGCCTTTTCTAGGGGATTTAAAAGGGAAATATCACTTTAAAATTCAGGGTAAACTAAATGTAGTAATGTAGTATCCTGGTTGGATCCTGGAACAGAAAAATAACATTATTGGAAAAACTGGTGAAATCTGAGTGCAGCACCAATGTTGATTTTTTAGTCTCTTTTTAAGTTTTAATTTTAATTCCAGTTAGTTAACCATACAGTGTTATGCTGGTTTTAGGTGTACAATAGTGCTTTTTAGTCTTGTTGAAAGAATGAACTATGAAAGTGTCATAGTTATGTAAGACGGTGACATGAGGGGAAAATGGGGTGAGGGGCACAGGGACTCTCTGTACTATCTTTGTTAACTTTTCTATAAACCTAGGGCTATTTTTAAAAATTAAGTTTATTAAAAAATAAAAAAACCCTGGAGACTGGTTGCATAACAATGTGAATATACTTAAAACAATACTAGCCTGTACACTAAAAAAATGGTTGATAGTTAATTTTATGTGTATTTCAACACAATTTAAAAAATACATATTTTAAAATCTATATTCTGACATGCTTAATGAATGAAATCATCTGGGATATGTTTCAAAATAATCTTGTGTGTGTTTGTGTGTAGATCACTGTGCTATTCTTATTTTCTCTACATTTGTATATGATTTAAATTTGCTATAATAAAAAGGTTTTAAATTTCAGGCAAATATTCTACATGCAATATAAGGAGAAAACAGGCAAATGATTCTAGTTAGTTTTTATACTGAGCCTAGTTCATTACTGCAACAAATATTTATTTAATACTAAGCTTGATGCTAAGGTACAGGACACATTATCATAAAAACACACCCCAATGCTCCTTAAACATCTGAAGCCCAGAGAATTCAATCACCCTCATCTCCTGGACCTGGGGATGAGAGTATGAAAGAATACATATGATGTTATGCTACCAAAGAGCCACCTAAATCTGGTGTTAGAGATCAGGTAACATATAGTACTATCAGGCTGAAGGCACCGAGTACAGTACTTGATCCTAACAAACTACCTACAAGAACTAAAGGTATTCTGATTTAAAACAAATAAACAACAACAACAAAAAATCCCCAAGTTGACTATAACTAAATAAATCTGAATTCTACCTACCTCACAGGAATTTGGGGATCAAATGAGATAATGTTCCTGTGGTTCAGCAAGGAAGCTGCCAAAGGGGCCATGAAAGGCCAGGTTCCTTCTCTCACTGTCTCATCAGGGTGTGCTCTAGAATAGATGAGTGAGGAATGATCAGGAAAAATAATGGGTTGTTTCCAGATCTCTGATCACCGCTTTTTCAACTTAAGATTCAGAGAAGGTCTAGCTAAACTTTATTTAACAATCATTCACTGAATGCCAATTATGCTCTAAGTGCTACATGGCTTTTTATGGTTAAAAGACAAAAACTTATCCAGACATTTATAGTTGACAAAGAATTTTAAAGCAGATTATCAAATTTGATCTTTCCAAAGTCCCTGTGAGGTAGGGGGCCCCCATGTTACAAATAAGAATGTAATAAGAGGTACATTTCATTTTATGGATGCAAAAACTGTGGCTGAGGGGGTTAAATGACTTACTTTCGGGTAATGGTTCCCAAATCTGACTGTGAATCAAAATTCCCTATAAATTCCTAAACGCCAGTGCTAAAGATTCTTATCCAGCATACAGAGAGGTGACCCCAAAATATGAACTTCTGATTTCTTCCTCTATAAAGAGGAGGAAAATAATGACAATAATTTCATAGAATAGTTGTGAGGTTTACTCAATAAGATATTATATATGATGTACCTAACCCAAAGTAGCCAATGCATTTGTGTGAGCCCTGTCTGAGTCATACAGTTCATTAGGGTCAGTCAGGATTTCAACTCAAATCTTCTGATTCCAAATCCCATACTTTCCATTACACTATGCTATATACTTCTGACGACGAAACCCCACCATCAGTTATTATATTGTAAAAACTGGAGACTTCATTCCTAGGTAAATGATTCCAGCCAAATACAGCAACACAAGTTTATTTCAGGTCTGCCACCCTCTAACAAGTTTCTAGAGTCTATTCGCAAAAGGAAGAAAATTATTGTCAAAAGAGAAGATGGGATTTATGAGAAGTATGCAATAAAATTATCTATAGTGCTTGACAATTCAAAACAGTTCATCAAATAAGTCTACCCATCACCAACTTATTGTTGCCTTTCAAAGCTCAAAGTCAGACTTAAGGGCAAAAATCTAATCAGCCTATTTTGTATTTACCTGAAATAATCGTGCAATGGAGAGTAGCATTAATCCAAATAAAAAACCATTGTACTGGAAATGAATATCTGGACTTAGATTAAGGAAAGACAACAGAGGATACCAAATTTAAGTTGAATTGTGCCAGCAGATTGAATATAAAAATGCAAATGCTTTCCTAATAGGTAAACTAAAGACAAAAATATTCCTCCAGTTTGAACTTCTCATAAATGTGTTTTCTATAAACAGAGTCAAACCTTAGACAAACTCTAATTAAAATGTATATAGTGCCTGGGAATGCAAGCTGGTGCAGCCACTCTGGAAAGCAGTATGGAGGTTCCTCAAAAAACTAAAAAAATAGGGGGAAGCCTGGGTGGCGCGTGATCTAGGTTCGCGTCCGACTTCCAGCCAGGTCTGATCATGGTCGTGAGTTCGGCCCGTCAGGCTTTCTGGGCTGATGGCTCAGAACACAGAGCCTGTTTCGATTCTGTGTCTCCCCTCTCTCTCTGCCCTCCCGTTCATGCTCTGTCTCTCTGTCCCAAAAAAAAATAAATAAACGTTGAAAAAAAAAAATTAAAAAAAAAAAAAAAACTAAAAATAGAATTACCCTACGACCCAGCAATTGCACTACTAGGCATTTATCCCTTGTGGATACAGGTGTGCTGTTTTGAAGGACATGCCCCATGTTTGTATGGCAGCACTACTATCAACAATAGCCAAAGTATGGAAAAGAGCCCAAATGTCCATCGATGGATGAATGGATAAAGATGTGGTATATATATATACAATGGAGTGTTACTGCCTCTTAAAAGAATGAAATCTTGCTAGCACACCTTCCCCACATGGATGGTGGAGGTATTATGTTAAAATGAAGTAGAGAAAGAAGACAAAAATCATATGACTTCACTCATATGAGGACTTTAAGAGAACAAGCAGATAAACATATATATAGGAAAGAAGCAAAATAATATATAAAAGGAGGACAAAAAGCAGAAGAACTCATAAATAGAGAACAAACTGAGGAGATTCTGGGGGAGGGGATGGAGCTAAATGGGTAAGGGGCACTAAGGAATCTACTCCTGAAATCATTGTTGCACTATATGCTAACTAATTTGGATGTAAATTTTAAAAAATAAAAAATAAAATAAAATAAATGTATATAGTGCCAAGTATTATATAGGGGATAAAAAAATTATGTTTAAGAAGAAAACCAGGAAACTTTCCCATGTTTTTTCTATCTTAAAGACCCAGCAGGGGCGCCTGGGTGGCGCAGTCGGTTAAGCGTCCGACTTCAGCCAGGTCACGATCTCGCGGTCCGTGAGTTCGAGCCCCGCGTCGGGCTCTGGGCTGATGGCTCAGAGTCTGGAGCCTGTTTCTGATTCTGTGTCTCCCTCTCTCTCTGCCCCTCCCCCGTTCATGCTCTGTCTCTCTCTGTCCCAAAAATAAATAAAAACGTTGAGAAAATAAATAAATAAATAAATAAATAAAAGACACAGCAGCTACAGGACAGGGAATTTTCTGGTTTTGTTTTTTAAATTAGGGATGAGAAAGGAAGGGACCTAACAGCTACTGAAGGCCACTGGCATGCAGCACCCCCTCGTTTATAGTATATATACACAATCCTAGTAAGCCTCACGACGAACCTGTGAGGACATCAGAGCTCAGAGCCATTAATCTACACACGGCCTAAAGCTACTGCAATGCCATAGCTAAGAGCTGAGTCCAGGTCAGACTTGAACCAAAGTGCGGGTGTTTTCCTCACACATGGCTACCTTTATGAAAACTGTAAAATATTAGGCTCCTGTCGTTAAGATTTTAGTTTCATTCGTATCTTCTGGATTTAAGAACTTTGCCTGTTAATATGTGGTAATCTAAGGTGGTAGAAGAGCATGAAGGTCTGCCTGGTCCCATATGTAACACTGAGACAGGCCCTTTCCTAGAAAAGGTATTTAGAATAATGTGTTCTAAAACTATGTAAGATATATGTATCTGATGGATCTAAAGACAGTTAACAAATCCCAGTATAGTGCTTTACTGATGGTTTAACTGGTTCTTGAATATCACCACTAGCTTTTCAGAAACAAAGTGCTCTAAAAATCAGTGTTTGGTACAGTTGGGAGAACCCATAGAAACCACAGTTTTGGGAACCCACGGACCCACCCCACACCCATTTTCAAAAGCAGCTCACATTTCAGAATTACCACCGAAGAAATAATTAATCTCATACTTAGTATATATCAGAGTAAGTAAGGGAATAGTGCAGAAAATGTCAAGGATACGGTCCACGATTAACAACCCGAAGTTCCACAGCAGTAACACTGATAGAATAAACTTTGGCTTCTCTGTAAGTTCTTTACCTGCTTTTTTCCCATCAATGCATTTACAGCACCTACAGTGGAACACCAGGAAGGAAGCAGAAAGAGCTTTTATCTTCATTAGAACATCACTATACCACTACAGAGTACACTCTGATACACTCAGACATATTTTAGTAGCTATTCCTGATAAACTGTCCATGCTGTTCCTGACTGCTTAAAAAGGTGACAGCAGAAACAAAGACCTCAGGGTCAGTTCCGTGTCTCTTTCTCAGCTCTGCTGATGTGAAACAGTCTTCATTTAGTAAAATGAAAAAAAAACAAACAGCCACCATAAACTCAAAGGGAAGGATTTTGAAAGTTGAGAGGGCACACACTATTTAGTCCTGAAGTGTAAAAAATGCAGACCATACCTGAAACTAATATAACAGTGTAACATTGTATATCAAGTATAATAAAAAAATGCAGACCCGAATAATATGGTACTCTAAATTATATATCATAGCAGCCAAATTAAAAATAGAGCCACGAGGAGCACCTGGATGGCTCAGTTGGTTAAGCGTCCGACTCTTGATTTTGGCTCAAGTCATGGTTTGTGGGTTCGAGCCCTCCATTGGGCTATGCCCTGACA